ATTGTAAGGTCTTTTAGGCAAACTGACTATCTCATGGCTGGCATGGTAACCTCTGTGACTTGCATGTACACTTTAGGTTAGTTCCTGGAAATAGAAAGTCTGAAGTAACTGGAAAGCCATGAAAAGGGGAAGAATCATCCCCTAAGGCACCTAATTAACTTGAGACATTCTTCTGTTGTTCCTTATACCTGCCTCAATTGATAAGGCAATTGGAGTTTATAACTGACCTTGGTCAACCTTGTGATTCCAGACCCTACGACCCCTCCCAACATGCAGAAACCCCCCTAAACTGTAACTTCTGTAACTTTCCACTGCCTACCACAGACCTATAAGATCAACTCCTACCCCACCACCCTCTGCTGACTCTCTTTTCTGACACAGCCCGCCTGTACCCAGGTGAGTAAACAGCCATATTCCTCACACAAAGCCTGTTTTGCGGGGGGGGTCCCTTCATTCAGAACGTGCATTTTAACAGTTATCTTAAACTTTTACTATTTGCCTCAAATGTTCAAATATACCATGTCCTTTTCTCACTCAGCAGATAATCACACCTCCGTAAACTTTGTGGCACCATTCTTTTCTCCAGTGACACTGGAAGTGAAGAGCCATCTACCTGAGAGGCTAGTCTTGCTCCAGTGCCTGGAGCTTATCTACCCCTGCTTTTTCTCAGTACCTACCATCTCTTATTTAAATCTCTGCGGCATTCTAAAACTTTACATTTGTACTAGCTATTTCCCTGCAGCATGTAAATATTTTCAAGGCTCTTGCATTCTTAAAAAAAAAAAAAACTTTCTGCAACCCTAGATCCACTGTACTTACTGAGCTTTCCGTTGTGGTTACTGCCAAACTTCTTTAAGAAAGAGTTTCCTGTACTAGCTCTTTCTGTTAACTCGCTTTGCTGAATCTAAGAAATATTTCTGGGATTTTCTCTTTCCTGATTCTGCAGCAGCTTTGACAGTACTGACACCTTCTCTTTTTCCTGAATTTCTTTGATACCCCAGTCTTTTCCTTCTCCCCTCCTCCCTTACCATCTTCTACTCAGGCTCCTTTGCAGATTTTATTTTCCCTATTGTCTACCTGTCTGAGTTCATTTGGACTGCCACAACAGAATATTATAAACTGGGTGGCTTATAAACAACAGAAGTTGATTTCTCACAGTTGTGGAGGCTGGGACATCCAAGTCAAGGTGCTAGTAAATTCAGTATCTGGTGAGAGTCCACTTCCCAGTTTATAAATTCAGATGGTGGAAGAAGTGACAGGTCTCTCTCAGACTCTTTTTATAAACGTGCCCTAAAGGGTTAAAGTGAAGGGTGTATAGGTCAATGATTTCTCACAAAGTGACAACCCTCTAGATCTCTGCAGTGTTGTATTTTTGGGGCTTGTGTATGTGCGTGTGTTCTATTTTATGTTGGTTTTTATTTATTTACTTTTTTTTACAATGAGCATCTATAGTGGGTTGAATTGTGGCCTCTAAAAAGATTTGTCCATGTCCTAATTATCAAAAAACCAAACATGTCCTCATTTAGAAAAAGGATTTTTTTTCAATGTGATTAAATTAAGTTTTGAGATAAGATCATCTTGGATTAACTAAATGGGCCTTAAATCCTATCACAACTATCTGTATAGTGAAGACACAGTGAAAAAGGACATAAAGGAGTCGGATATTGGAGTTCTGATGCCGCAAATCAAGGAGTGCCTGGAACCACCAGAATCTGAAAGAAACAACAAAGAACTTTCCCCTTTGTAGGGTAAAGAGCCTTTGTAGGGAACATGGTCCTGAAGACACCTTGATTTTGGACTTCTGGCCTCCAGAATTGTGACAGAATAAATTTCTATTGTTTTATACTAACAAGTTTGTTAGGACATTCCTGGGAAACTAATACAGCATGTATAATCATTATGACAGCAACAAAGTAAATATTATTAGATTACAAGATTTGCAGTCCTCCCCCTCCCTCTGCCTTCTAAGGAGGCAAGCAGCCTCTGCCAGTTCAGCAAGCTTCTGATTGTTGTTTTGTTCATGATCATGTTGAAGGGTAGAATTGAGCTGGAAGGTGAGGACTAAACTCTGATTTTTTTTTTCATCTTACCCAAATTCTTGTCTGAGGGGTCTGGGGAAGTCATGCCCTCAGATGGGTTTTATTTTACCCTATATATCATGATTTACTTTCCAGCATGACTCTGGCATAACATTACAAAACGAAGAAGAAACTCAAAATATCTTACCCCAAAACATATTTCTTGGCCATATTTTGAAATGGCTCTGCAAAGCTGTTCTTTGTAGAGGAAAATCTGCATCTGTAAAGAATCTCTATTTACATAGCTAGATCTTTTTCTTCTAGACTAAATCTTTTTCTTCTAGACCCTCCAATCCTAAAGAGATTCACTAAGATCTGAATAGGAAACATTTATCATCTACTGTCTCTAAGGGCAGCCATTTCAGAAGAACTTAGGTTTCCATAATCTTTATCTGAAACTGAACATTTCCTTTCTAACAATCCCAGGTCTTTAGACAAACTCAACCGTCAACCAGAAAATGTTTAAATTCACCTATAGCCTGGAAGCCACCCCACTTTGAGTTGTTCTGCCTTACGGGTCCAAACCAAAGTCTTTTTTAAATATATTTGATTGATGTCTCATGCCTCTCTAAAATGTATACGACCAAGCTGCACTGGGACCACCTTGGCACATGTTCTCAGGACTTCCTGAGGGCTATGTCATGGGCCATGGTCACTCATATTTGGCTCAGAATAAATTTCTTCAAATGTTTTACAGAGTTTGACTCTTTTCATTGGCAAAGCCTAGAATAATGAGAGTGGGATATGAATGAAGAAAAAATAAGAAAAATGAGCAGCTTCAGTGAAGAATAGAAGTTCTGGGGGATGGATTGCTAAATCAATGTGCAAAAATCACAAGCATTCCCATACACCAATAACAGACTTAAAGCCAAATCAAGAACGAACTGCCATTCACAATTGCTACAAAAAGAATAAAATACCTAGGAATACAACTAACAAAGAATGTAAAGGACCTCTTCAAGGAGAACTACAAACCACTGCTCAATGAAATAAAAGAGGACACAAACAGATGGAGAAACATTGCATGCTCTTGGTTAGGAATAATCAATACCGTGAAAATGGCCATACTGTCCAAAGTAATTTATAGATTCAAAGCTATTCCCATCAAGCTACCAATGACCTTCTTCACAGAACTGGAAAAAAACCACCTCAAACTTCATATGGAACCAAAAGAGAGCCTGTATAGGCAAGTCAATTCTAAGCAAAAAGAACAAAGCTGGAGGCATCACGTTACCTGACTTCAAACTATACTGCAAGGCTACAGAAATCAAAACAGCATGGTACTGATACCAAAACAGAGATATAGACCATTGGAACAGAACAGAGACCTCAGAGGCAATGCCACACATCTACAACCATCTGATCTTTGACAAACCTTACAAAAACAAGCAATGGGGAAAGGATTCCCTGCTTAATAAATGGTGTTGGGAAAACTGGCTAGCCATGTGCAGAAAGCAGAAACTGGACCCCTTCCTGACACCTTACACTAAAATTAACTCCAGATGGATTAAAGAATTAAACATAAGACATAACACCATAAAAACCCTAGAAGAAAATCTAGGCAAAACCATTCAGGTCATAGGCATAGGCAAGGACTTCATGACTAAAACACCAAAAGCAGTGGCAACAAAAGCCAAAATAGACAAATGGGACCTAATTACACTCCAGAGCTTCTGCACAGCAAAAGAAACAATCATTAGGGTGAACTGGCAATGAACAGAATGGGAAAAAATTTTTGCAATCTACCCTTCTGACAAAGGGTTAATATCCAGGATCTACAAAGAACTAAAACAGATTTACAAGAAAAAAACAAGCCCATTCAAAAGTGGATAAAGGATATGAACACACACTTTACAAAAGAAGACATATATGAATCCAACAAACATGAAAAAATGCTCATCATCACTGGTCATTAGAGAAATGCAAATGTAAACCACATTGAGATGCCAGCTCATAGCAGTTAGAATGGCGAGCATTAAAAAATCTGGAGACAACAGCTGCTGGAGAGGATGTGGAGAAATAGAAACACTTTTACACTGTTGGTGGGAGTGTAAATTAGTTCAACCATTGTGGAAGACAGTGTGGCAATTCCTCAAGGACCTAGAAATAGAAATTCTGACTGACCCAGCAATACCATTACTGGATATAGATCCAGAGGATTATAAATCCTTCTATTATAAGGACACACGAATATTCATTGTGGCATTGTTTACAATAGCAAAGACCTGGAACCAACCCAAATGCCCATTGATGATAGACTGGACACAGAAAATGTGGCACATATACACCATGGAATACTATGCAGCCATAAAAAATGATGAGTTTGTGTCCTTTGTAGGGACATGGATGAACCTGGAAACCATCATTCTCAGCAAACTGACACAAGAACAGAAACTCAAACACCACATGTTCTCACTCATAGGCAGGTGCTGAACAATGAGAACACATGGACACAGGGAGGGGAGCATCACACATTGGGGTCTGTGGGGGGGAACTAGGGGAGGGACAGCGGGTGGTGGGGACTTGGGGAGGGATAACATGGGGAGAAATGCCAGACATAGGTGATGGGGATGGAGGCAGCAAACCACATTGCCATGTATGTACCTGTGCAACAATCTTGCAGGTTCTTCACATGTACTCCCAAACCTAAAACACAATAATATATGTATATACACACATATATATGTATATATATATATACACACACATAATATATATACACACACATATATATGTATATACACACACACACATATATATATATATATAAATCTCTGTAAACTTCTACCTTTTATTTATTGGAATATTCAGTAAAACCTGAATTTCTTACTGATGTGTTTGATGGCAGAAGGCTAAAGTAAATACAAAAGGTGAGGATAGTAAGTATGTAAAATAGTTAATAATATTATTATAAGAGATGAATTTGTGTTTATGTTTTGAAGGAGTTTCCTCTAACTTCTGCACAGGTGTTTCATCCTATTTTTCACTTCTCACCTCTGCATATGTAAGAAACTTCATCAAGCACAAAGTACTACAAACTAGCAATAGTTTCTGGCATTCATTTTTTTCACCATAACGCTACCCTCACCAGCATTACTGTTTTATTTATTATTTATTTTGGGGAATCATTGAGCTTTTCCCACTGCCTCCTCACCCCCTTTTGTTTTTTGGAATGTTTCCATGTGTAGTTGAACATTTACGCTTATAATTCCTTTCCTCATCATATCCACTTTTTGACATGTTGGTTTAATTTGGTTTTGTTCAGTTTCTCTGTCTTCATCATATTCTGTATATTCTGAGAATGCGCCATGCTCCTGTTCATGACTTTCTTCTCTTTTCAGCTGGCTTAACCAGGGTAGCAGCACAACTACTTCCTCCTGACTTCAGACAGCTGTGCTGGTTTCTTTGGGGTAAGTAGGCAGGCAAAATACATGCTTAACCAGTAGAGAAACTGAGGTCAAGAAGCAATGAAGTGGTTCACCTAGTATTATCTGGCCCAACTATTAACAGTGGAGCCAAGATTATTCCAAAGGTCTTTTAATGAAAGAACCTATCAAGACACCATGCAGTGTTCTCTAGTATTGCATTGTTATTGGAATCAACCACACTGTTTTCAGATAAAGCAATGAAACTCCAACACCATCAGTAATCTGTCAGTTATATTTGGCTATTAGGTGTCAACTTGGGAATGTCCAGGAAAGAATCTGATTTCACCAAGACTTATTGAAAGTTTACTCTCCTAGGGGGAGAATAACCATGCCTGGATAATTGAATGAAATTACACCCTTTCCTTTTGTTCTCAGTTATTACCTTAAAATCAAATATAAGTATAAAATATATTTTTAACAAACCCATACATCTCATAATTTTAGGAGCATAACATATTTTTGCAAGCTATAGAATATCTGTAATGCTTATTAGGAAATAGGACATAATTTTCAGCTTTTTTGTTGTTAACTTTTTTTCATTAAAATTTGGGGAATCATTCTGTGACCATTTCTGTCTACACATTCTTCTGAGCTTGTGGCAGTTTTAATGCTGAAATATGAAGTGATTTGCTACCATATCATTTATGAAATTCCTTGACAAATATTTATAGCTATGTTTGACGGTGACCTATTCTTTTTAGGAATGTCATCATAGAAATTATCCATGTATGAATTCTAGAGAGGCCAGTTAGGCATTATATAAGCTTTCTGTTCTGAGTTATTGCTGACCTCTTGGAGCCTGAGACATTACAAAGGAAAGAATAGAATGCAGACACAAATAAGCAGCTGATTCAAAGACTGTAAAATAAATGTCTCTCTGGTGCCCTTCATAAAAGTTCATGTAAAATAATACCTGACCTTATAAAATATGGCCTTTTTTGAAGCACATTTGTATTCAGAAGTTGGAATCTCAAAATAATGATTTTTCTTTATCAAACCTGGGTTAAATATTATGTACCATTAGAAGCTTGTTGGCTAACCCTGACTGGTGACCTGCTGAGAATATTACCTTTCTAGCGATGTCTTTACTGGATTGTAAAATACAGAACATCTACAGATGTCCTGTAACTGAGAATAGGAAAATATCACTCTGAAAATCTGAAGCTCAAAGTAATCTTATGAAATGAGATCTTTAGTTTAAAATAGTTTGTTTTTGATTTAACTCAACAAGTATCCTCTGCACGCCCTTGTTTCCATAATGGTCCCATACATACTTTTGTATTTCAGGTAGTGTTACTGTAATTGTACAGATAGCCACAGCCTTATATGAGCCCAATATGTCAGTTTTTATTTTTTGCCCAAGTATGAAAGATTGTCAGATTGGAACAAGAACATCAATTTTTTAAGGATTATGAAAGAGATGAAATATTGACTATATTTTTCCCCTAGCCCCTATTTCCCTCCCCTTCCCTCTCCTCTCCTCCTCTCCCCTTCTCTTCTCTTTTGAGATAGGCTCTGACTCTGTTGCCCAGGCTGGAGTACAGTGGCATAATCATGGCTCACTACAACCTCCACCTCCCAGGCTCAAGGGATCCTCTCCCTTCAGCCTCCCAAGTAACTGGAACCACAGGTATGCACCACCACACTTGGCTAAGTTTTGTATTTTTTGTATAGATGGAGTTTCACCATATTGCCCAGGCTGGTCTCAAACTCTTGAGCTCAAGTCATCCTCTTGTCTTGGCCTCTCAAAGTGCTCGGAGTACAGGCATGAGCCACCATGCCAGGCCCAATTATTTTCTATTTTAGAAGTGAAGTGGTCAGCCCAGTGGTTCATACTTATAATCCCAGCACTTTGGAAGGCTGAGGGTTAGGCAGGAGGATTACTTTAGGCCAGAAGTTCGAGAGTAGCCTGGACAACATGATGAAACCCTGTCTCTACAAAAAAATACAAAAATTCACCAGTTGTGTTTGTGCACACCTGTGGTCCCAGCTACTTAGGAGGCTGAGGTGGGAGAATCACTTGAGCCTGTAGAGGTCAAGGTTACAGTTAGCCATGATCACACCACTGCACTTCAGCCTGGGTGACAAGGTCGGATCCTGCCTCAATCAATCAATCAATCAATCAATCAATCAAGGTCCAGGCTGATGGTAGAGTCAATGGAAGAGAGTGGGAATATTGACCATGTTTTCAAAATACCAGTTTTTACCCAATATACCAGCTGAATAGAATACTAGCTTCACTGTACACCTTTTTACCCGGGAAGAAAAACATCCCACCAAATATGTCTACATACTGTGACAAAGATGTCTAGGACCTGTGAATGTTACCTTACTTGTCAAAAAAGGACTTTGCAGATCTGATTAAATTAAGGATCCTGAGATGGAGGGGATTGCCTGCATTATCTGATGGCTCAATAATCCATTGATTATGTTGACTATTGGACAACTTAAGCAAAAGGTTCTTACAAGTGAAGGAAAGAGGCAGGAGAATCAGTGACAGAGAAAAGTATGTGACCAGCAGAAACAGAGGTCAGATAAGAAGTCATAGATTTTGAAGATGCTATTTTGCTGGCTTTAAAGATGGAGGAAGTGGATACAAACCAAGGAGGCGGGGCTTGGGAGAGGAGGATGCCCCTGGTGTCTGGCAAGCAGAGGCCAGCTGCGTTACTAACCATTCTATAATGAATGGGCAGCCCCCCAAAATAAATAATTATGTGTCTCCAGTGCCAAGGTTGAGAAACTCTGCCTTGTTAGACAGGTTAGGACCTCCAGCAAAGTACAGAATAGAAGGGATGAGAACAAACATCCATCTCTTGTTGATCTTAGTGTAAAACATTTAGTTTTCCATTCTGAAGTATGCTGTCAGCTGTACATTTTTTTGCAGATACTCTTTTTAAGATGGAAGACCTTCCATTCTATTTGTACTTTGCTGAGAATTTTTATTATGAATTGTTGTAGAATTTTATCAACTGCTTTTCTGTATCTATTCAGATGTTCAGATAGTTTTCAGTCTGCTAGTATGGAAAGTTTTTGATTAATTTTTATATGTTAAAGTGAATTCCTGTAATAAAACCCAGTTATATATTGCTGGATTCAATTTGATGAACTTTTAATATTTTTACATCTATGTTATGAGTAGTACTGGTTTTATTTCTTAAATGTGTTTTGCCTCCCAATCTGCAGTAAAATTTCTTAAATGTTTTATAGAAGTCACCAGTGAAGTGCAAATAGGCCTGGATTTTCTCTGTGAGAAGATGTTTAGACTGGGCACTGTGGCTCACATCTGTAATCTCAGCACTCTAAAAGGCCGAGGAATTCCAGAACAGCATGGGCAATATAGCAAGGACCTATCTCTACAAAAACTAAAAACACATTAGCCTGGTTTGTTGGTATGTGCCTGTGAGTCCCAGCTACTTGGCAAGCTGAGGTGGGAGGATTGCTTGAGCCCAGGAGGTCCAGGCTGGAGTGACCTGTGATCGCACCACTACACTCCAGTATGGGCAACAGAGGAAAATCCTGGAGTCTCAAAAAAAAAAAAAAAAGTTTGACTATAATTTTTAAAAATTTTCTTTCTTTCTTTTTTTGAGACAGGGTATTGCTCTTTTCCCCAAGCTGGAGTGCAGTGGTGCAATCTTGGCTTACTCTAACCTCCACCTCTCAAGTGATCCTATCACCTCAGCCTCCAGAGTAGCTGGAACCACAGGCACTCACTAATTTTTGTATTTTTTGTAGAGACGAAGTTTTGCCATGTTGCCTGGCTAATTTTGTATTTTTTGTAAAGATGAGGTTTTTCCATATTGCCTAGGCTGGTCTCAAATTCCTGGGGTCAAGCAGTCCACCTGTCTTGGCCTCACAAGCTGCTGGGATTAATTTAATGTCATTAATGTGTGTGTGTGTGTGTGTGTGTGTGTGTGTGTGCGCGCGCGCGTGCGTGGGTGTGTATGTGTGCGTTTTCCTACTTAGATTATCTGTCCACTTCTGAGTTAGCTTTAGTAGTTTCTGCCTTCCAAGGAATCTGTCCATTTCATCAATGTCAAGTTTATAGGCATAAACTATTTCTCTTATACATTTTAATGTCCATAGGATCAGTGGTGGTATCTTTCTTAATCTTGATATTAGTAATTTATGTTTTCCCCTTTTTTTCTTATTAGTCTGGCTAGAATTTTATCATTTTATAATTCAGAAGAACCAAACTTTGACTTTATTAATTTCTTCTAATAAAAAAACTGTTCTTTATCATTCCCTCTTCTCTTATTTTAGATATAATTTGTTATCTTACAATTTCATAAGGTAAGAGCTTAGATTATTGATTTGAGGGCTTTTTATTTACCTAATGTAAGCATTTAATGCTATAAATTTTCTTTTAATGAATTTATTTATTTTGAGTTGGAGTTTCTTGTTGCCCAAGCTGGAGTGCAATGGCGTGATCTTGGCTCACTGCAGTCTCTGCCTCCCGGATTCTCCTGCCTCAGCTTCCCAAGTAGCTGAGATTACAGGCATGCACCACCATGCCCAGTTAATTTTGTATTTTTAGGGTAGATGTGGTTTCTTCATGTTGGTCAGGCTGGTTTCGAAATCCCGACCTCAGGTGATCTGCCCATCTCAACCTCCCAAAGTGCTAGGATTACAGGTGTGGACCACCATGCCTGGCCTATATGTCCTTTTAAAAATGGAAGCCACAGACTGGGTAACAGAGCAAGTCTCCATCTCAAAAAAAAAAAAGAAAAAAGAAAGAAAAGAAAAGAAAAACTAGGTAAGCTGTATGCTGTATTCCACATACTTTGATAGGCTGGTTTTAATTTTCATTGAGATAAAAATGTTTTCTAATTTTTCTTGTGATTTCTCCTTTTACCTAAATATTTGAGGACTTGCCAGATATCTGTTTTTGATTTCTCAATTAGTTCCATTGTGATTAGAGGCACAGTTTGTGTGATTTCATCTTTTTAATTTGTTGGCATTTGTTTTATGGCCCAGAATATTTT